TTGTTTCATTCGCCTAGACATGGACAGGAGCTATAGAGAGTTCCTCTGACCAGCATGTGAATCCAAAGTTTTCGTTATCCAGGCTCGAAAGGGAATGACCCATCCGCAGGCGTCTTGACTACCGGGTCAAATGCAAGGATGATGTTTGGAAAGGACCCGCTTGGTGGCTCCCAACATGAAGGAACATGGCCCCCAAACAACTGCAAAAGTATTGACATGTGGGCGCGGGTCAAAAATAGGTACCCAAAATGTAACCCTGGTAAATGGAAACATGGACGAACACCTACATGCAGTCCAATTCCAGGTGCTTGAATTTTGATCCATACCCAATGTCGTGAAACAGCGCCTCCTGCGTCTGACAGAACTCGACAAAGAAATTCATGATGAGCAACATGGAAACATGCCTTTTGCGCTGTAGAACTGCAGATTGCGCTCTCTCCCAAGCACCAGACACATTCCCAGGCAGGTTGGGTCTACCCCTTGTTGCATGGTTGAACCACTCCCGTTCCAACAACCACCTAAACTTCTTTCATGCTAAATAGGGCCTGACCTCCAAATTCGGGGGTTCCCCATATCCAAATGAGGCGGTTCCCCATGCGAAAATTCCTCTCCCCGCCATGGGGGCTTGCAACATGGGTGCCGAACTGGACCACCGTGGCCACTGGTGAAGAGGTGCAGCGGTCTCGGCCTAGCGACGACCGCTGCGATGCCAAGTTTGGGGCACTGGCAAACGAGGTGTGACTCACATCTCATCTCCAAATGGGTGCTTTCCCCATCGTCAATGCGTCTTAAATCACATCCGGAGCCATCCAAATTGGGGATGTAAAATTCAGACAAAGAGTTCCTGGATAGCGCCACCAAAAAAATGGGAAGGGGGCTCCTTCATCTTGGCTTCCCTCAAGCCGAATCGGGCGCAAACTCAGCTTCCACACCGTCCAGCCACCATCTCGGCATCTAGCTTCCTGCAACCATTGCGCTCAGACCGACAAGGATCATAGGCAATCCAGCTTCTGACCGCCTTAAGTATAAATGGTCAAACCATGGCATGGTACCCAAAAGAAGTCGACCCAAAACCAATGCATTCCAAGGGCTGCCGCAACTATTGGTTGGGACTGCCCCATACTAACCTTTTATCTAAATCCAAAGAATCCTGTGCGATGAACGGCATCATATTCAGAAGATGCGCTGCCCGTGTCAGCTGATTTGCAGAGCCAAAATCCCAAAATGCAACTTGGAATGATATCGACTAACGTCCAGCCGGCTTTGTCTCAAAGGGGAGCTCCACAGAAGGTTAGCTTCCTTAAAGGGCAACCAAAAGGGTCCCCAAATAAAAGGCACACGTACGCACAAGCACACACCAAGGTCCTCAAGAGAAACCAAAGGAAACCTGCCATTGCGAGTCCAATTTCATGAGTGTGTGTCAACATAGGGGCACACACACACACATGGGTGTGTGTTGAAACAGGGGGGACTAGGATTTGCAACTCTAAAGAACGCAGAGACACCTCAGTTCTCCTTCGGCACCTGGCCACTAAAACGGGGAACCCCAGTTTTGACCCTCAAAAAGTCAGATCCGGTCAGACTGGAAGGACACATCCCAAAACCCATCTCGGATATCTGGATCGTCTCGCTCATGGTTTTCTTCTTCTTCTTTTGTTTGGGGGGGGGGGGGGTGAACCACCTTGGTTTCCCTTTCAAACCGCCAAACACCCCGGGGCGCCGACGCCGAAAACGACGGGCCGCGCCCAAGCCCGCGGGCCTGGCGGTCTCAACGGCCACCAGCGCGCCCAAGCTGTGGCCGAAGAAGGCGTAGGGCACGCCGTCCACCAGACCCGAGGCCTCACGAGACGGATCTGTGGGTTCTTCAATCTGACACTTTTGTGGGGGGGGGAAACACACCTGTTAAGTGGTGGGAGTTTTCTGTCTGACACTTTTGTTGGGGGGGGAGGGGGGGGAGGGGGATACTGTGGCCGGATGATTCTTCTTTCTGACACTGAACTTCATTGAACCGGGGACTAACAGGTGGGTTATACGCTATTACCTAGGTTCCCAGCGCAAGCGGGAACTATAAACAAATCGGACTTCTTTATGGATGTGGCCAACACCCCCTGAAAAAACAAAAGCCAAAAACGGAATTCGGTCGGAAAAGTAATACCTTGTACATAGTCAGATTCCGCAGCAAAAGTGTGCTTATGGCTCACGACCCACGTGTGCTGCGAAGGAACACGCTGCGAATCCCACTCGGTCCAAGTAATTAGTACTTGAAGGATCAACAACTATGGGTCAACTGTTGGTGTGTACTACCTACATGGATTGTTTTGGGAGTGATCAAAAGTACTTCCGATGCGAAGCTGCTGGCACAAACGCGGCCTGCAATGCCTCGCAAATGTGGCTGACCAGCGTGTCCATGTCCTCCCGAGAGGAAAATTGTATGTGGATTCACAGGCAAACCTGAGATCAAACTTGTTCCCCAAGATGACATAGCTGTGGCTCAAAAAAGAAGGGCCAAAATGGCACCTTGGTAAATGGAACCAAACACGCAACCACACAGAACCCCAGCTCTTTAATTTTGAGCCATACCCACAGGGGCAAAAAGGGAGCTACCCCCTGGCTTTCTTCGAAATCGGGTGGGGCTCTCATGTCCTCACCAAACTAGCTTGAAACTACCAGCAAATTTCAGGGTGCCTTAAAGGAAACGACCTGTGCAATGGGATCCGTTCCCAAATCAGCTGGCAGTTGGCGACGGTGATCTTTTAAAGCCACTGGCATTCGCGCGTGGGTGAGTTGGTTTTACTGGGGAACATGCTTAGTTTGCCTTTGTTTCCCGTTAAAAAACTAATGAAAAGGGGCTTAAAAGGAGATTCCTCCGACAAAAAAACACCTTTGCCTCTCTTGCGTAGTTGGACCACGGCGCATATTGAGCCGTGGATCAAACGCCATGTTTTGCTCGGCGGTGACACACTAGCATGCACATGGCCCTGTGCTTTGCCACGCGCAGCACATTCGCAGTGCTCACATGCCTGCCAAATGCTAAGCACGCCCGCTCGCACTGCAGACACGCCTGCCAAATGGTAAGCACCCCGCTCACGCGCAGCCTCCGCTCATGCGCCGCAGGTTCGCACTGCACGCGCGCCTGCCAAATGGTAAGCACACCCGCTCACGCGCAGCCTCCGCTCACAGGCAGCATGTTCACACGCCTGCCAAGCGGTAAGCCCGCCCGCTCACGAGCAGCCTCAGCCCTAAGCCCCAAACCGCTCAAATCAAAAAAGGCTTGCTCCAGGTCTTAGGTCGTGTAGTTCAGTCAAAAATGGCTTGCTTCAGGTCTGAGGTTGTGTAGTTCAGTCGAAAAAGGCTTGCCCCAGGTCCCAGGTCTTAGGTCGTGTCGTTCAGTCAAACAAGGCTTGACCCAGGTAGGTCGTGTAGTTCAGTCCCCAAAAAAAAGGGCACAGTGGTGTACTGGGGAAGGGATACTTGAAGGCTCCCACAGGAGCCAAACGTGCAGTTTAACCTGCAAATACCATCCTTCCCCACTGTAACTGCCGCGCAAAAAATGTTGTTGCAACATGTTGAGAAAACCACGTTATTTACAGGGAAAACAGGGTGTGTTTCGCCCGGGGTGATTGAGATGCCGACTTTGACCCACGGCGGAATATGCGCCGTGGACCTAGTTTGGACTGGAGATATTTAAAAGGTTGACCTTTTGAGATCTTGACTACCGACCAAAGGTCAGATCCGATCTCCTTTTGCATGTCTCGTTTGGAGGCTCGGTACCCTTTGTGGGCTTTGGGAAACCGAATGGAACACCGAAGCCAATTTGTGGGCTCCTATTTTGACACATGGCTGTGGCTTAAAACACCGGAAATCCAAATGAAACCCTGGTAAGTGGAAACATGGACCAAAACCTGCGGTCCCCTGGTGGTTTAATTTTGAGCCACCCCCACATTCTGAAATTAGCACCCCACGAACCAATGTCAGTTCCCGGGTCGCACGTCGGTCCGTGAAGCTGGGCGTCTCCACACGACGCTCCCGACCTACGCGAGGCTGAGCCATGCGAAACACAAAGGGTCAAGAATAGGTACCCAAAACGGAACTGAAAGTCTGACCGGATCCTGGAAAAGGAAACAAGGATAAAAACCTGCGGTCCCCTGGTGGCTTGATTTTGACCCACAGCCATATTATCCATAAAAAGGCCGTTGTCGCTAACGGCCTTCGAGGTTTCTTACTGTTGAATAGTCCGTATTCAAATTTATTAAATCGTACTGAACTGTGCCTCGACGGCCAAATTGAATGCTGTTGACTGTCCACTATGCTTGAAGCAACTGTGCCGCCCAGCAGTCTGCCGAGTGTTCAATCTTGAGCTGATTATTTCGATTACAGCTATTAAGTCCTGACTCCTTGCTAGTCTTGATTGATCTTTTCGTGAGCTTGAGAAGCTAAGACCTGATAACAAAAGTTCACCAAAGAAACAAGTCACCAGGAATTCCCGGGCACGTGCGGCTTTCATTTATCTGTTCCTTTGGGTCCGAAAGAGAGGACCAAGAGATAAACGATCATCTGCATTCATCATCTGTGTATCCTCCATAGGATCCTTTAATCTTATAGAATAGTGTGTTGCAATCACATTCATGCCAATGTAAAAAACAATCCTTGAAATCAAGGGCTTTAAAATGAGACAAAATCAGATAAGACAACATAAGAAATGCCTTGAAATCAAGGATTCAAACAAGACAAACTAAAATAAGAAATGAACAAGACCACAAGTCACATGTATGTTTTGTGTTGTCTGTGTTTAAGAAAGATTCACATGATACAGAACAAGACCCCCCTAAAGTAATAGATATGACATACTAAGGATTTGGGGGTTTAATCAAAGAGTCAATTTTAGTATGTGTCAAAGGGGAACCCCGCTTCTCTTTAAACCCAAAGAGGTGCCATTCGCAGCCATCGGCTTCGGATCGTTCGCCTGGCGCTGAAATCGCCACCACCTCCACCAGTGCCTCCTATCCACCGAACGGCGCCGTCTGAAAACCCGCTCCCGGGCTAAGCCTCCAAGATACGAAGTCTATGTGAGCCCATCAAAATGTACGGTTCCATTGGCATGAGCAAAAATGAGTCAGTCTCTCGGTTTTGCGGGAAGTTTAGTGAGATTCGCGATGATCGCCCAAATGACATACGCGTACTGGCATGTTTGTCTGGCTTTTTTGCCGAACCTAGGCCTTCCACGTAAGATGGAACTTACTTGTTGGCGCTCAATGCCTCAGGAAGCAAGCCACTCAACTCCAAGGTCAGTCTTCCGCATTCGGCAAGAGTTATTCAAGCGAGAATGCTCGGCGTGTTGCCTCATTCAGCAAGAACTTTCATTGAGCTATCACGGTTTCGACTAAGGCACTCCCCTTCCGGTTCATTCCCACCACCCGGACTCAGTCATTCACAAGCAAGAACAAGAGTGACTGATATCTCACAAGTCTTCAAGCTTCAGACTGGCCAACCAGCGCTGGGTCAAGATGGGTGTCCCTTTTTTAGGGGGCCCCCAAAATGGAAGTTGTGCTTTTGTTAACCGACAAAGAAGAGGGTATCCCAAGAAAAACAGCCCCAAATGGGGATTGGGAGTCACTCATGGCTTCGCTTGCAATCTGTCCTCAAAGAGTTCTGACCATGCAGCAAAGGCCGAAGGGCCGCCGCCGCTGTGCGGAAAACATACCAGCCGAACCTCAGAAAAACGAAAACCAAAACCGTCGCCTCAGTGTTGACTTAGGTTTGTCTCCAGCAAAACCCACAACATGGTTGGCCTTTGGATTCTCTTTAGACCAACCTGGAAAAGGCTACCCACAACAGGACACATCCACTTCGCACACAAACAATGGCAAAATGGCTGCAAATGAGGAAACCAAAGATCCACGCCCCAAGACATGCTTTCAGAGCTTAGCAGTATTCATACATTAACAGTGCAGCCTTAAAAGTTCCTCATGACATCAAACTGGTCAGCACTGCATCCAGCTCAGAAGCAGGCCCGAGCATTAGTAACAGGCTTGGACACCACGAGGACGTCGCTCGCCTGGCGAGTGATCATAGATCCTGCACCAGCGGGGCCCGCTGAAAAAAAACCCTGTAAATACTGGGATTCACGCCTGCACTGGCGCAGGGTCTTGCTGGAGGGAATGACCCTTGTAAATTATTGAATGACCCTTCCAAATTATTCAAGTGGTTTCCTTTCACAGGAGAATTCTGGGTTCATTCCCACATTCCCTAAGCACCACCAGGTTCTTGTCCACAGTACGTCCATCCGCACGACGCGCCTCGATGTGGACCATGGTTTCCTGAAACACGCCTCACCGCATGCATGCTGATTATGATGTTGGAAAGCATAACTCGGGTGACCCAAATTGGGTTCCGACAAATTGGTTCTAGGATACTACACACATGAGAGTCCTTTGAAATAAGTTGGAACCCGGTTATTTGTAACTAGAATCCGTCAAGCGGGTCCGCTGATCATTCTACAAATTTGTCAAGCACACTCAAATGGGCGTTTCTCGAAATGGGGGGGGGGAATGGTCCTTGGGTTTCCCCTCGATTTGCAAAAAGTCCGAACCCCATATTGAGAAACTGCATGCTAAGATCGGCGCACCTTCGCGCGAAGAGAGAGCCCAAGCAGCTCGACCACCTAGCCTTACCCTTGAGCCAAGGGAATGCAGTTGCCTGTCTCTTGAGCCGCGACTTCCTGCAAAAATCAGAGCCTCAGAATCCCCATAAGTTTCCGAAGGAGAAAAAAAATCATCGGCCCCCCTTTTCTAGGCACCGATTTAGTAATCCCACAAAGCATTCTCTTTGAATTCCTCGAGCCATTCCATGGCATGGTGTGGCGCCTGCCAGTCAACTCAAGCCTCTTGAGAGCTTCCGGGCATCTCATTTGAGGAAAATAAGGAATGACCCTGAACCATTGCTTGTGGCTCCCTTATCCTTTCATTCCCTAGTGAGAACCAGCAAGTTTCTGGCACACCTTTTTCTCCGGCCAGTCTTTGCCAGCGGTCCCTCTCTTGCTCCAAGTGGAGCACCTGCCATGCATCCCGAAACGTCACAGCAGACTTGGTATTCTTGCTGTTTGTTCATCTTCTTGGTTTTGCTCATCGTCTTTCGTCGTTCTTTCTCCTGCAGTTCTCGCATTTGCTAGCTTTTGCGTAGCTTTTTCACGCGCGCGCGGCATCTATTCTTAGAGATCATGTGACTGCCTTCTTAAAGAGAGCTAGCTCATTTAGTTCCAGTTCTACGGAAGTTCTTGTCGCACTTCCTTTAATTGAAGGGTCCACCGTCGAGCCCAAGTTGAGGGTTGGTTTGACCATGGCATACCATGGCACATGTGCATATGTGCTCCGAAAATAGTCAATGTCCTTGCGATCGATTGCCCGATTGCACGGAAGGTATCGCAGGGGGGGTAATGAACTGCATGCGGTCCAATCCCCAATAAACCCCTGGAGGGAAAGGGATAGAATCATCCCTCATTTGAACGGACAGGCTTCCCTGATTGGCACGGAACCCTCCCCACTTGGGTTGCCGAATCAGCAGACTGGAATCTCGAGCCACGCCCCTTTCTCTTTTCCGTTTTAAAAGCTTGACCGCTACAAACCATGCGGTTTCTATGGTTCCCTTTAAGGGAATCCCCAAAACCGGCTCATACCCAACACCCGGAACGGTCATTGCCTAGCTATCACACCAGCAAGTTTCATCCGTTTTGTTTTTGCCGGTGCAATGCGGCCTTGTAGACTTTCCAAATGAGATCTGTGCCTTAGCTACAAACTGCTCAAAGGTTCGGATCTGCGTGCCCCCGGGAAAATAGATAGCTGGGGGTGTCTTGCATTTTTTTCTGAAATATGGTGGATTTCCTGTTGGTATCCAACTAAAACCAACCAAAAGGGGGTACCCTCAAGAAATAGATGGCACTGGTGAAGGACCAAACTGAAACCGTGGAACCCGTGGATGCTTAAGTCACGAAAGGATAACAAAGGACACCTCTGCTCCATTTCAGTGGGTAACGCCAGCACTTGGGACCAAAACTGGTGCCATGGACCGATTGACCAAACCCTGGGAGTCTAAGATAGGGGTCAAAGGACTGGGGTCGGCTGAAAAGTGAGCGCTGAGGTTCGGACTTTCCGTGGGCAAGTGCTCGAAGACGAAGGACTCGATCTCACTTTGATCCTGAGAAGGGTTTGTCCCTCTTTCTTGAGGAAACCCCCGCTTCCCTTTGGTTTGCCTTTGGTTCCCACCCCAAAAAGACATGGGATACGTCGGCTCGTGCCCTGCCTTTTGTCGGACAATTCGGGCAATGTTCTGGGACTTGACTTAGTATATACAGGTTTCTGGGTTGTGTGGTTGAAATTTAGGGCTCGTTCATGATCGTTCGCCCTCCAACAATAAGGAGGGTATGCCTGGCATGAGTCCACCTCGCTGTGGCCTGTCCAGAGGAACAGTGATTCAATCTGCAATGTTTTCTGGGCTGCCTTCAGATCCCCCGCTAAAAGTTTGGCTTTTAGTGGGCTAAATGGAAACTGCCACTAAACACTAAAAGGCTAAAATGCTAAGGGAATGGCTGGGAGCCACCAAGTTTTACAATTCCATCGAGTGAAATAAGGATCCACTAATTGAAGATCAGGATGAGCTCGTTTCACACGAGTAGCTCATTCCCTCTTTGTGGCTTTTGCATCAGGAGAGCACATCGCGTTGGAGCACTTCTTGCTTGCATCAAGTAGCCTGGCCTCATCTGTCATGTCTACTGCCATCTTCTCCTCGCCAAACACACTGCGAATTGACACTGGAAGTTGGAGCAAGGCACAAAGCCCAATGAAGGTTGGTCCCAATTGCCAAGACGATCGCAAAGATTCAAACAAGACGATGTAATATATACATATATTACATACAGTATTATATATATATATACGTAATCCCAATTCAATCTAGTAGTAGAACCACCAACTAAATGGACTTCTGCTCATTTTTTCGGCCGCTGGTTCTGCATGCAAGATCATGGTCTTGGAAAATAGCCCTAACCAAAGTTAGCCCTTTTCAAACAAATTGGCCCTACCAGGGCGTGTTGATCTTTGGAGGAAAATGATGGTTTTCCTGTTGGCTCAACCGCAGAAAAGGGGTACCAACTCCAAAAAAGACACATCCACCAGAAGCTGCAAGATAGCGCGCTGATCTCCTGAAATAGCGCATAAAGCTCATCCCAAACATTGCGAGCATCTGCGTCCAGATCCTTCACCACGTCAGTGTACCTGGCGTTCGCCAGTGGCTTTGGCCAACCCAACAAAAAGTATTTTGCGGAATCGGTCCCCCTTTAAAGGGAACCCCAAGGGCAAACACAAACAATATCCGGGTCCCGCCAAAACAGTTTATCATGATTGCTCTAACATCCAGGCGTGACTGCTCTACAACACCAAGCATTGAGAGAAGTGCTACAAACACTTTGGCCGTAAAGGCCCGGTACAAAGTTGCCAACCCCACGCCCTCACCGGAACACCTTCGGTGCTTCGCAAGTGACATGTTGGCTCGAACCGTACCCTAGGAAAAAACGTGGCAGGCATCAACCGCTTCACAAAACACCCCATAGGAAACACATTTTTTCAATCCGACAGGAGGGTTCAAACCAGCATGTGTGCTTCTTAAGCCCCCCATTTTGGGGGACTCCTTTCGGTTTCCCTGCCCATTCCAATTTTGAGAAACCCCCCACTGGGCACAGGCGTGAGATCTGTGCCGTAAGCTTGGCAACCTGATGGATTCCGGCGCCAAAAAAGGAGCCTCCTCTACAAAAATCGAGCATGTGGGCTCGTCCGTTGTTGGAGTTGGCATCATGTTTGGGGGGAGGTTTGAGAAAAAGCCCAAAAGGCAACCACATGTTTGTGGGGTTGCCATATTTTGAGGCAACCCCATGTCAATCTGAAGAGCAAATTGCTTTCTTTGCTCTAATCAGCGGATAAAGTCCGAGTTGATGCTTTTTTTTAGCAGCGAGCTGATCTTCTCACAATTAAAGCAGTTGTCCTTTTGGTCTTCCTTGACGTAAACCCACCATTGGGGTGCCCTCAAAAAAAAACAGCCACATGCGTCACATGCCTTTGTGGCTGTTCGGCAGGGGCTGTCCAAATCTTGAGGCATCGCCCGCCTTGACTTCAGGATCGGGCTGGGAGGGAAGTGAGCGCACCTCGCAGTTGCATGACAAGTTTGCGAGAAAACGGCACAGGGCTGCCGATACTTGTCCAACCTAGAGACATCAAAAGGCAAGATCACTTGATGTCAACACCACCAAAAGCGGGACATATAGGGAACAATGAGTCGCAGTGGAGCACTTTCTCTGAGATTCCACTTCGCTTGCCTCCTCGGGGATTGCATCCTCCTCGGGGATTGCATCCTCCTCCGGCTCATCCATGGCCTGAAGGGTCGAATCCTGCAGACAAACACAACATAGACCGGAACTTGGATGAGTCACCCGCCGCCTCCGTCGCCTCCGTCGCCTCGTCAGACTTCTGTGATTCGAAGTCCCAAGCGTCACAAAGAAGGCCATCGTGATCGGTGGCCGTCAAGCCGAAGGGCTCCTGTCAAATGCACTCTGGTTCCTTCTCTCTTCCACTCACCAACACCCACTGCTGTAGAAACATCACCTTTGTAAAACAAGGCCATCCAAATATGATTACATTCTCAATTTGACCGGGGATTCACCTTTGGTACAGAAAGTGGCAATCTAAACTCAATTTCCCAGAACCTTGAGCAAAACCCAAGGCAATGTGCCAATCTCTCCTCGAGGTCTGCCTGAGTACCTCGGGCATGACATATGCACCGAGTTCCTTTGCTACGAGAAACTAATACGAGAGCTTATCCAAGCTAGGAACCCCCGTCCAGGTTGTTTTGCTTTTAGTCCCCCTTGCCCATTTTCAGAGACCCATATGAACTAACCAAACCCGTACCCTCTCCATATGATGCAATAGGTTCTTTCTACTCAAACATAATCAGCATGCAACGCAACGCATGCGTGCCTTCAAGGTCAGTGCCGGCCGTATACATCAGGGAATCCTGGCAAGGCGACTCCGTGACTCCGTGCCCCGCGCAGAAGGCTTCACGACTCCTCGAAGGCACTGCCATGTGTCAGCTCGCCTCAGCTTCAAAAATATCAGCGCTCCCGTCCAACTTGCCAAAGCGAAAGCGGTTTGCTCAGAACTTTAAATGCCCCGCCCCCTTTCCAAATCTCGGTGGCTTTCTGCTCCCCTTCTAGAAGTTTCACTTTTAGTGGTTGAATGGAAACCCCATTAGTTGGCAAAAAGCCAAAGTCCTAACATCCAAGCAAAATGCTCCAAAGAAATGGTGGCAGGTGGCAGAAACGACGGAGCAAAGAACCTTATTCAAGGCTCCCTGTTTGCCGCTTCCAGAAAGGTCTGCAAGAAACCGCTTTCGGTTCATCAGCCACAAGCTCCGAGCCTTCCAACTCTTCGGCGATCGACTCCGTGTCGGGCTCGTGATCGCCGAGCTTCACCTCAAGCCGTCGAGATCCGCTGCATCAAGCTGCGTAAGGCGCGGGCAGTGCAGTCCAAGTCCGGACGGATGGTGACCTCCGGCAGGAAATGGCGGAAGCCGCTTCCAATGAGAGCTATATAATTACTTCACAATGCCAGTCACAGCTTCAAAATTGTAAGGGCGAAGGCACAGTCTGGATGGGCCGGCTACTAACACATTGACGTCATATCTGCCCAGTTCCAGGGCACAGTGTGAGAATCAAACGTGTGCTTTTGCTTGAAGGTAGTCTTTTTGGCCAAGAATTGGCTCCACCCGCATACATCTCTTTGCGATAAAGCCGTGTCATTTTGGAGGGTACCCACTTGGGGCGGGGGCCTCAGAGGTGAGGGTCCATGTTGCCAGCCCAGAGAAATGGCTAGAAGATGGTAGCCAGGAGCCAGGAGCCAACGGTGCGATGGCAAGGCAGGTGGGAGGTCTGACAAAACCCGCCGCAGGCCTCCTCCTGCACTTCCTGAAGACGAGAAGCCGCCTGAGATGACAAAACCACGGAACTCACAACACATCGCCACGTCCTCGCCTGCGTCATACTGCCACCATTCCTGTCGCAAGCTTCCAATTTTAAACGGGCAACAGAGCCAGGGATCCATGTACCCGACATGGGGCACCCTTGCGGGGCAACCAAAAAATGCGCTTGTCTCAAATAGGAGAACTCCCATGATGGATGACGTCCTTTTGGTTTCCCTAAAAAATGACCTTCACCCAAATGGAACAAGAGCAAGTCCGTTGCCTCTGTAGAAGGCGCTTGATGGGCGAGTCGTCCATGCTCAAGAGCTGCCTAGGTGCGTCGAATAAAAGCAGCTTCGCTTCAGCTGGGGGCTTGTCAAAATCAGGTTGAGCCTTGCCATTCCCTTTAAAAAGCGGCACAAGGCGGCAGGGTCCAAGAACAGGCCACGCTGTTGACAACTCCCCTCTGGCGCAGGTTGGGCAACCAACCCAATAGGTGATGGCTGAGTGTGCCTCATTTTGAGGAACCCTCAAAGCCCGTGGTTTCCCTTTCGCTTCCCTTGTACACATCAAAAAAGAGTACCCTCCAAAAACACCGACACAGACGCAGACGCAGACACAAAGACACACACACACACGCACACTAATCAGGGTGAGTCAGGGCTAGTTTAAGGATACATCCAAAAGATGCCTGTTCTACAAGGATTTGGATCCTCGAATCAGCTTGGCTGCCCCCCAATAGTGGGCTAAACATTGATGAGCTTGGCCCGCCCCCTCAAACAACTAAGTGCACGGCTGCACGGAGGGAACGTTGCGACTGCCAATCGATCGGCTCGTCACGGGTTGTTGAGCAAAATAGAACCCCACCCCCCAGCCACCCCAAATGCGCCAGGTGTCCTTTTCAGGTTTGCTTACTGTAAACCATCCAAAAAGAGGCATCAACGGATGCGCCCTTGGGGAAAGACAAATGAAGCCGACCAGTTCGGGGACTGCACCATGCGAACCCAGGTTTATTCACCCCAACTGAATGGGGGCGAGGAAGGAGTGTCCCTGGGTTTAGTTGTGAATCATTACTTTGGGGCCTACCGGCACGAATGCATTAATCCGGGGTCAACATTAATTATTGTGTCAAATTAGGGGCTCCCCCAAGAAACATGTGGTTTCCTTTGGGTCTCCCGAAAAAAACGGACACTCGCTATGAGGACATGAATCGGGACCCACCGGGCCCTTAAAAACCAAAAAGGGAAAAACAGAAGTATTCAGTTCAGCATGCTTGCGGCCCCCTGGAAAAAAGAATAGTAGTGTAAAAAGGGGAAACACATATTCTTAAGCAAATGGAGGCATACAAACTCGAGGCGGGTTGCCAGTCTCTCGCCTGGGTCGTGCCGCCGCCACCACCACATCGGGCAGTTCGGCCACCTCCGCCTTCAGCCGGGCCTCCGGAAAACGAGCCGCAAACCTTGTTTGGCATACCAAAATGGGCGTGTCTTCCCCGAAACGCCAGTCCTCGTCTTAAGTTCCCAAAAGAACACCACCAAAGAAGGGGGTGCCCTTGTTGAATGACACACCCAAATGACCCCCAACAAATTCAGGTCCATGATTCCAGGGAGGGCGACGTAGTAGCTAATAACTAGCACTTTACAGTTCATAAGCCAGCCAACCCCCTGCTTACCTACATTCATACGAACAAGGCTAAAGTAGCCAGCAACAACTGTGCCTCGTCCTGACTTTTCGGCCGCTCACCTTCTGAAGCACAGGGCGACGGCTCCCATGTTAAGTGAGTGGGCAGTCGAAACCAACATGAGGGGGGGAATTGAATTCGCCCTCTTGACTACGTGACTTGTGACTGAGGTGCCGACCTTTTGTCAGAGCTTTGGTCTTTGGTGCCTGGCAAAAGAGACAGAGTGCCACGGACTCTTTTGGTGAAAAGGGGCTTCGCACTCTACTCCGAAAGGTTTTCAGACGTGAGTTTCCTGTTGGGGCGATGCAACAAAAAATGGAAAAAAAACAAAAAAAACAACTGACCATGGGTCAAAATCCTGGTTAGCCCCCAGTGAACATCCCAATCCCCACTCAAATAGACCAAAATGGGTGGCGCACCTACCGCAAAATGGGATCCCATTGGTTTTGACCCACAGCCAACTTTTTGGAGCCCTGTGTTTCGGAGTGCCATGGAAACCATGGGGGCGCTTTTGGCCAAAGCGCCCTTGATCTTCTCATGTTTCCAGCTCTCCGACTCGTCCAAACGGGCGCTAGAAACAAATCAGACGAATCTTATCCCAATCGGAACCCTGGGCGTGTCTTTTGGTGGGGACCCCCCCAAAATGATGGGTTTGCCTGGTGCCCTTGTACAACCAACCAGAAACTTTGGCATTATCATGAAGGGGAACCTTCAAACAGCACGGTTTCCCCTTGCTATTCTGACGAAGGGGGTTCCAAACCCAGGAGTCAGATCGATCGGAAAACTGGCCAAGGGTGCCACCAGCACTGTCTTTCCAGCCTCCTGGCATGTACTTAGGATGGGCAAAAGGCTGCAGACATCTGGGATGAAGAGCAGATGTGAAAGATACGCCATGAAATGTACGAACTATGTATGTAACACATATATACATGTATATATATATATATATATATATTAATATTTGTTTTATCCTTTCTGGGGGTATGAGGGACAACAAAAGGACACCCCGACAACTTTGAGGGTCGCCTTTGAAAGCAGTTTCCATACCGCCCGTCACCTGAGCTCACTGTGCGTACCATGGTCGAGCCTCCCTGGGTGTTGGGCGTTCGTAAGGCGTGTGTCAAGTAGGAATCGGTACCCCCCCCCGCTCCCAAAAACACACAAAAGACTCTGGTTCTCCTTTTGGTTTGCATTCACAACCACCCTGCGCCCAATGATTCTACCAGTATCAAGGTCACCCCCCAAGTGGTAGGTGAAAGGGAACTTATGCTAGTTTTTGCGACTTTGGTAACCCTCAGAAACGGAACCGAAACAATGACCTCAGCCACCCAAAAAAGGACCCCCTTGTTTGTGGTTTACATTCAGAACCACCCGGTTAGGGAACCCTCAGTTGGTGGTTCAAACCACCGGGGCTCCAAGCCACCAAACCACGAGGGAAGCTGATCCCTTGTGAAGTGCGCTTCAAGAAATTCGAACCTCAAGTTCGAACCCAAAAAACATCCCCAAATCCCCCCAAAACCCCCCAAAACCCCCCAACACCCACCAAAACCCACCAAAACCCAACCAAAACCCCCCACCCCCCCCCCAAAACAAAACACCTAAAACACCCTAAAAAACACCCGAAAACAGGCTCCCTCCAAAAGGAAACAGGTTCCCTACCACCTGAAACCCCGACGCAGGGACGAGTCTGGCACCTCGCGGCGGGCAGCTCGAGGGTCCAAGCGCACCTCGCATATCGATCGATCGGAATTTCCGGGTCTGAAGCGAAAGGAAGCCCCTGGAGACATGCTCTCCCATGAGACCAGTTGAAGGTGGGTTCTTTTGTTTGCACTTGAAAGGAACCATTCGAAAGGACCCCCCTCAAAAAACCCCCTGAGACATGTTTGAACCGTTTGAGCAGGAACCTCCTGGAAACATGGTCTCCATTTGAAGGTTCTTGCTCTCCCATGAGACGTGTTTGAACTGGTGTCAAAATTTGGGGGGGTTCTTGTTCTGAATTGAGACAAACCCACATGTTTGAACATCTGTTCTTGCAAAACCTTCAAGCTCGGTGTCTTTTGAAGGAAGCAATTTGCCGAACCTAGCTGCTATGGAACCCCAACAAAGCAAAGTCCCTGACCTCATTTGAGTCTTTTTGGGGTAGGCCCTCACATAGTCTTGGGCTAGGGAGTGTATCATGCCTTCCGTCCAGCTCGTTTCTCCAAAGCCTTCCTTGCGGACCGGAACGTTCCGAGGCCAGCTCCCTGCGTGGCTGAGCTTTTGGGACACGAGGAATAGCCTGGGTCTACGGCTTCAGCTGTTGGTCAAACCTTTTCATGGCTCCCTCACTAGAAACCCTTACAAGGGTCATCAAGGGTTGTCTAAATTCCCTCCAACACCCCGGAAATGAAGTGATCTTGACCTGCGCCATGGAGACAAAGGGCCTACGGCCCATGCTCATGGTTCCCTTTTTCGATGAGTCAGAATGCTTATTTCGGATCCTTACCATGTGGATGACAAAAGCCCAACGTGCACCCCAAGAAAGCGGTCAAACAGACGCCACACGTGTCCGACTCAGCCAGAAACGCGGCCCGTGGCGGTCGCTGGCAGTGTCCTGTCTGCAAAACCGGCATCGGCTCGACACATGGATGGCTCGGCCTTTTTGGAGTTACCCCTTTGTTGCTGGGTAGAGAAAGGAAACTAAGAGGAAAGCCAACCATTTTTAGGGCCCCCTAAGCAGACACACGCATGCTTCTTACTGCGGCTCTCTTCTTCTATGGAGAATCACCCTACATCTCTGATTTACCACACTTCGACATCCCTACTTTCTCAACTTCAAGGGAAATCCTACTTGATATCGCAGAGATTCTCCACCGAAAATCCCTACAGTGTTGACGCCGAATTCACAAACCCCTGGTTCATCAATAGGGATGTCCCCTTTTGGAGGGGGGACGTGTCCCCAATTCATAGGACGGGTTTATTCATCCGGGACCAACACGATTCCACACCCATGCTTCTTCCGGCGCCTCTTCTCTGTCTTGGGTCTCAGCCCAGGCTTCGAAGCATCCTCAGACGCTCTCTCGCCCACAACTCCCATAGCACTTGGATCAGCATTCGCACGAAATGAAACCATGGGTGACATCATAGCGTTCGTTGGCATTTACAGGGGAGTCGAAATAGAAACCGTTGGGTTTCGGTGGCGTGAAATGGATTTTGTCCAGCCACAGTACTTTGGGCAAATAGAAGGGCCTGGTACATTGCGAAACAACCGATCGGTAAACCAGGAGTCGCCGTTGACGTTATACCAAAACAACGGGAAAGGAAACCTATGCCTCTTCGATTTCCCACGGTTTTCCCAAAAGAACATTGCCGTAGGTGTCCTTTGCCGGTTAGTTTGGTTGGAAATGCAGGGGTTCTACTGGTTTAGATTGGTTTGATGCCATATCATAGGGCTACCATTCTTTCCGGAAAACGTCACCTATGACCATGGCCAAAAAGGTGTTGGCTTGAGGCCTTACAGTACTCCCTAAAGGTAGGAACATCACCTGCTACACTCTGTTCCTGAGGGTTTGAGCTTTGGGTTTGTCTCAAAATTTCCATCCTCTCCCAACCAATTCCATGGCAGCTGCAACGAACGGACCACTCTGGAGCATATTCCGGCCCTCACGCCCATGTCTCCCCTGTCTCATGCCCGCACTCCCCCACGCTTCCTGCACCGGGACCTCCAGACGTGATGCCCAAGAGATGACCGCAGGCTTGGCCAGCAGCTCGGCCAGCTTCGTCCGCTTCACCAGCCTCGGTGGATTCGATCCTCTCGAAGGAGGGGGTTGGTTTCAACAGAGTTTTTGAGACTCATCCAACTGGGTGCTTCTCAATTTGCACTGCCTGGATGGTTTTACAGGTGCAGTCCTCTATTTTTGAAGTTTAGAATGATCGAGTTCCTTTCGGACGCTACATGATGGTCCTTGGGTGCGGGCTGGAACCCGCATACTAGAACCCGTTTAGCCGTTTAGGGTCTCCTGATAAAGCTCGGGGGCAGGCAAGTCGCAACAAATCAAGTCCGTTTCACCACCAAAATGGAGGCCTTCCAAACTGGGTGATACTGTTGGACAAAATCCTGCAGCTGGAAGGTGGTTCATCCTAATACTTGTAGGATTTCATCCATTCCAACTAGTGCAGGATTCCGTCCATCCACAGTACCTACCAGTAGGGGCCGGGACATACGGCCGTGGATCAAAACCAATGGTACCATTTCGGGGTAGGTGCACCACCCATTTTAGAACCTATTTTAGTGGGGATTGGGATGTTCACTGGAGGTAAACCGATTTAGATTTTGACCCACAGCCATATTGTTCATGATGACATAGCATCTTAGACGCAGACTCTCGCTGCATGCAGCCGTCGATCAAAGTGCGGAGGTCATCGGAATAGCTTGCATCAATTGGAGCAAACCTTGGCTGCGGCGCCATTCGTAACATCGTGTGGGTCGCCCACGCGGAACGTCCCGCCATCAAATGGATTCAAAGGTCGTTGTCCTCCCCGTCTTGCTGATACATTTGGGTGTGGCTCAAACATGGGGGTTCCAACATGGAACCCTGGTACATGGACAGGTAGACTAAAACCCGCTAACCCCAGTTGCCTAATTTTGAGCCACACCCATTTGGAGATAAACCGTTGGTTGTCAGCTTCCTCGAGGCAGTTCCAAGCCTGGAAAGAAGAAATCAAGGCGCCAGAAGCGTCGGGGCTTCGGAACTGATCCACACTGAACATTGGGTTGTCTTTTTGCTCTGGCGGAAAGGTGGTTCACCTGGCCAAATCTAGGTTTCTCTTCCTGAGCAAAAGGTCGATCACCTGTGGCTCCCTTTGGGTCCTGCCAGATTGTTTAGGAGCCACGAGCTAACAAAATGGTCGAGCAGCTGTCCGCGCAGAATCTTGATGAGAAGCGCAGCTTGATTCTTGGCTTCAAAGGGATGCCTGGCGCACGGAAATGCTCCCTGCTTCCCCTGCGTAGGCGGCTTCTATAGCCTCAAAGTGCACATCTCATAGACAACGCACCCAAAAGCCCAGACCTTGGCATCCAAAACACCGGCTTCGTTCGTTTGCTCTCGGTTTCCCCTTGGTGTTCGATTGTTTCCTCTTGGGTTTCCTTCAAACAATCTCGGAACCCAATAAAACTGCCTGGATGTAGTTGACTTTGAACCCAAAGATTTCAGGCGCAATCCACAGCTTCGCTCAGAGTTTAAGGCCAAAGCATCGCTGAGCTCGTTATAAGGCTTCTCCTCGCAAATCTCGGGGGACAGGTAGTAAGGAGTACCAACCTGGGCTTTCTTTGAGCCCACGCGGCATGCGACAAGGCAAACCTGAAAAACCATCCGAGAGGTGTATGTCATTCTCCCGAAAACCCTCCCCCAAACCCTGCTGCGAGTCATGGGAACGATTTGAGGGCATGCTATGATCCACGCGAAGGTGCTTGCAAAGTTTGTGTTGCTCAGCACCCGCGCCACCTGGCCAAGTGAGAAAAGCCATGAGAAGCTGCGGCTCAAATATTGCCGGCGGCACACCAAGATCACCAAGCCGGACATCATCATTGGTCTTCAGGAAGACGTTCAAAGTCTGAGATGCCATGCGATGCATCAGCCGCACAACTTTGTGCCGTGCCTTGATGTCTCTATGCAGTATCCTGCACCAAATCAAGGCTGCATTTGGAAAACTGGGCGATGTCAATCGTCATGGCACCTTCAAGAACTTACCCTTCACGCACCGGGCTGGCCTGTTCTGATGCAGCCAGCGTAGGCCCATGCCGATCTGCAGGAGAAATCTCCACACTGCACGCTCCTGCCGTTTACGGCTGCAAGGGCTTCTTTGAAAAAGCTCTTGTGAGAGAAAAGGTCGAGCAATTGCCTGGTCTTCAAATTAGGCCTGCTGTTCTGGGCTAAGACAAGCCTCACCCTTCGCGAACCATGCCTCTTTCATTGGAGATAACATGGTAGTCCTGCGAACTATAGGGCCAAAAGCTTTTGAGACATAGTTGGGAACCGGATCGAGCCGGGATTTGATTCATGCACACGTTGCCATTAATGTTCAGCTATCTACGTTGGCTCAAGACAGGTCATCGCAAAAACTCGATGTGGCCGATTGGCATTGAGCTCCATGATGTTGCTAGTTGCACATGCCATGGTTGAATTGTCTGATTGGCGCATATTGGCGCGTTAAGCAGCGATTCACCCGCCCACTCTGTCGCTCAACTTTAAGCCCAAGTACATCCAAGGCACAGCAGCCAGTGTAATGCATTATGTTAAGTCTACGATGTATTGTTTTGCGGGGCCCTATCGTCATTTCACCAGCCACCTTTTCGGGTTACCTGAATTGGGATACACACCCTCACCCAAATAGGTGGCTTGGCTCGGGAAGCCTGCCATCTCTCAGCTGGGTCTGGTGTCCAGCCTCTCGAATTAGCAAAGCCATGCATGAGTCTGGTGAACATCTGGCAAAAATCAGCCGCTCCCCAGCTGAGTGACTCCACAGAAAAAGCGAAGCGTGAGGGATCAAACGTGGGCCATGCCTGGCTGGGAAACCCACCGTGGCCCAATGAAGAATGAAGGATGCCAGCAGCATGCTCCAGCCGTAAAAGACAACATCGAGGACCTTGCATGAGACACGTCAGCCCAGTTCGCTGGAAGGTGGGATGAACATGCGGTGCAGAATAGCGACCTTGCATATATATATATATATATACTCTTGAATCTATTGGTATATCATAAGGTTAACTGGAATTGACCCGTGTCCGCGCAGTCCTCAAGGCTTCGCTGCCGCTCCTTCAGATACTGGCTCAAGTCGCCTGGCCGTTTGCACCAATGCGGAACACCGAAATCATCCGAATGCACAGGGTGCATGATCCGCGCGATGCACCACATATGGCCGTGGCTCAAAAAACCGGAATTCTCGGAATTCCAAAATGGAACCCTGGGTGAAAACATGGACCAAAACCTGCGGTTTGCCCCTCCTGTTTAATTTTGAGCCACACCCATTTGCCACTTTACAACACAATGCACGTGCCAGCGAGTTGCCTTTCTCGCAATACTCCATGATGATATGCAAAGCATCATCTTCCTGGCTCTTTCAGATCCAAGCAAAGGTATGCTGAGACCTGCGCAAGTGTTTCGTACAAACACGCCGGGGCGTCCAAAAAAGAACCGAGGTATTGCACAATGTAGTTGCATCCGTGCGACACTTTGCGCAGCAAATCTACCTGCGAGGCGCAACTCCAAGGTGCCACTTCTTGAGCAGTGACCCAAACTTCAGGCTTGGTTCAACCAATATATGTGTGTGGGTGGCACTGTGGGTGTGTGTCTTTTCGAGGGTACCCCGTGTTCTGTGGCTTTAAAGGGAAACCACGAGGCAAACCGCTGCTTGGGGGATCCCAACTCCAGGCGGAACCGCCCTGGGATGTGGACCTGAAATCGCCGAGCGGCACCAATTTCTAAGGTTTCACGACCCCCAAACTGAATTAGCCTTTAAATCGTGGCTGCTCTTAGCTGCTCTTAGCTGCTCATAGCTGCTCTTAGCTGCTCTTAGCTGCTCATAGCTGCTCTTAGCTGCTCTTAGCTGCTCATAGCTGCTCTTAGCTGCTCTTAGCTGCTCATAGCTGCTCTTAGCTGGGCTCTTAGCTGCTCATAGCTGCTCTTAGCTGCTCTTAGCTGCTCTTAGCTGCTCATAGCTGCTCTTAGCTGCTCTTAGCTGCTCATAGCTGCTCTTAGCTGCTCTTAGCTGCTCTTAGCTGCTCTTAGCTGCTCATAGCTGCTCTTAGCTGCTCTGCTCTTAGCTGCTCTTAGCTGCTCATAGCTGCTCTTAGCTGCTCTTAGCTGCTCTTAGCTGCTCTCTTAGCTGCTCTTAGCTGCTCATAGCTGCTCTTAGCTGCTCTTAGCTGCTCTGCTCTTAGCTGCTCATAGCTGCTCTTAGCTGCTCTTAGCTGCTCATAGCTGCTCATAGCTGCTCTTAGCTGCTCATAGCTGCTCTTAGCTGCTCTTAGCTGCTCATAGCTGCTCATAGCTGCTCTTAGCTGCTCTTAGCTGCTCATAGCTGCTCTTAGCTGCTCATAGCTGCTCTTAGCTGCTCTTAGCTGCTCATAGCTGCTCTTAGCTGCTCTTAGCTGCTCATAGCTGCTCTTAGCTGCTCATAGCTGCTCTTAGCTGCTCTTAGCTGCTCATAGCTGCTCTTAGCTGCTCTTAGCTGCTCTTAGCTGCTCATAGCTGCTCATAGCTGCTCTTAGCTGCTCATAGCTGCTCTTAGCTGCTCTTAGCTGCTCATAGCTGCTCATAGCTGCTCTTAGCTGCTCTTAGCTGCTCATAGCTGCTCTTAGCTGCTCATAGCTGCTCTTAGCTGCTCTTAGCTGCTCATAGCTGCTCTTAGCTGCTCATAGCTGCTCTTAGCTGCTCTTAGCTGCTCATAGCTGCTCTTAGCTGCTCATAGCTGCTCTTAGCTGCTCTTAGCTGCTCATAGCTGCTCTTAGCTGCTCTTAGCTGCTCATAGCTGCTCTTAGCTGCTCATAGCTGCTCTTAGCTGCTCATAGCTGCTCTTAGCTGCTCTTAGCTGCTCATAGCTGCTCTTAGCTGCTCATAGCTGCTCTTAGCTGCTCTTAGTTAGCTGCTCAAGCTTCCCTTACAGCTCCATAGCTGCTACTTATCTGCTCTTAGCTGCTCATCAAGCTGCTCTTAGCTGGCTCTTAGCTGCTCAATAGCTGCTCTTTAGCTCTCTTAACTGCTCTTCACTGCTCATAGCTGCTCTTAGCTGCTCTTACTGCTCATAGCTGCTCTTAGCTGCTCTTAGCTGCTCATAGCTGCTCTTAGCTGCTCATAGCTGCTCTTAGCTGATCTTAGCTGCTCTTAGCTGCTCATAGCTGCTCTTAGCTGCTCTTAGCTGCTCTTAGCTGCTCATAGCTGCTCTTAGCTGCTCTTAGCTGCTCATAGCTGCTCTTAGCTGCTCTTAGCTGCTCATAGCTGCTCTTAGCTGCTCTTAGCTGCTCATAGCTGCTCTTAGCTGCTCTTAGCTGCTCATAGCTGCTCTTAGCTGCTCTTAGCTGCTCTTAGCTGCTCATAGCTGCTCTTAGCTGCTCTTAGCTGCTCATAGCTGCTCTTAGCTGCTCTTAGCTGCTCATAGCTGCTCTTAGCTGCTCTTAGCTGCTCTTAGCTGCTCATAGCTGCTCTTAGCTGCTCTTAGCTGCTCATAGCTGCTCTTAGCTGCTCTTAGCTGCTCATAGCTGCTCTTAGCTGCTCTTAGCTGCTCTTAGCTGCTCTTAGCTGCTCTTAGCTGCTCATAGCTGCTCTTAGCTGCTCTTAGCTGCTCATAGCTGCTCTTAGCTGCTCTTAGCTGCTCATAGCTGCTCTTAGCTGCTCTTAGCTGCTCTTAGCTGCTCTTAGCTGCTCTTAGCTGCTCTTAGCTGCTCTTAGCTGCTCATAGCTGCTCTTAGCTGCTCTTAGCTGCTCATAGCTGCTCATCAGCTGCTCATAAGCTGCCCTTTATATTTGCTCATAGCTGCTCTTAGCTGCTCATCAGCTGCTCATAAGCCTGACTCTTACTGCTCTTTAGCTGCTCATAGCTGCTCATAGCTGCTCTTAGCTGCTTAGCTAGCTCTTAGCTGCTCATAGCTGCTCTTAGCTGCTCATACTCTTAGCTGCTCATAGCTGCTCTTAGCTGCTCTTAGCTGCTCTTAGCTGCTCATAGCTGCTCTTAGCTGCTCTTAGCTGCTCATAGCTGCTCTTAGCTGCTCTTAGCTGCTCATAGCTGCTCTTAGCTGCTCTTAGCTGCTCATAGCTGCTCTTAGCTGCTCATAGCTGCTCTTAGCTGCTCTTAGCTGCTCATAGCTGCTCTTAGCTGCTCTTAGCTGCTCATAGCTGCTCTTAGCTGCTCTCATAGCTGCTCTTAGCTGCTCTTAGCTGCTCTTAGCTGCTCATAGCTGCTCTTAGCTGCTCTTAGCTGCTCATAGCTGCTCTTAGCTGCTCTTAGCTGCTCATAGCTGCTCTTAGCTGCTCTTAGCTGCTCTTAGCTGCTCATAGCTGCTCTTAGCTGCTCTTAGCTGCTCATAGCTGCTCATAGCTGCTCTTAGCTGCTCTTAGCTGCTCATAGCTGCTCTTAGCTGCTCATAGCTGCTCTTAGCTGCTCTTAGCTGCTCATAGCTGCTCTTAGCTGCTCTTAGCTGTATCTCACATTAAACCCCCGGAAGATGGGTTGACAAACCGCCCATCGCTGCCTGTGGACTTGGTCCGGGCGATTCGAACTGGTCTCTTTTCGGAAGCCGGTGCCCCTTGCTTGCTGGCTTTAAAGTGAAACCAAACGGAAAACCACCATGTTGGAGGTACCTTGTATTCCCTTGTGGTTTCAAAGGGAAACCAAAAAGAAACACAAATTTGGAGGTCCCCGCAAGAAAGACCACAATCTTTGTTGCGATCGCCTCCTTATTGGCTTCCTCCCGCGCTTTGCGCTTCATGTTGCTCAGCTGGATTTGCTTGCAGACCTGCGCATGGGTAACCACAAGGACATCGGGAATCATTGCATTTGTGGACACACTAAGGATTTCGTACGAGCTCTCTCGCTCTCTCCTTCTCTCTAGTTTTCCCCATCTCTCCCGCTCTCCCAGTGCTTCCAGTTTCCGCAATAGTAGGTAACCCTTCACCATGTTTACCTCCAAATTTCACCATGGATGGTTTCCACTGCTTACAGCGTCTTGCCTGGAAGCACTGTGGCTCCAAAAAATTGCATTGGACCCCACGTTATGGTGCGTTCCCTTTTGGTTCCCTGCAAAACCCAGTCCAAACGGGCTACCCTCCCTTCCACTAACATGGCACCTGGCAGAGGATCCCTTAAAGAGGAATGTGATCTTCCAGGTACCCTCCATAAATGCCATGTTAGTGGGAGGAAGGGTTCCGCTCGTCCCAATGGGCCAATCTGAGAGCTTCGCGCAGGCGCAGCCATCCGCTTTGCGGATCACTTGGTACACCACCTGGTGAGCACGGAGCAGGACGCCGTTTTGACGCATGCAAAACGTGGGCCAACGGGACCGTTGCTCCTTTTTTTTGGGGGGGGGGAGATCCCTCTTTTGGTTGGTTGTTTCAAGGGGAAACCAGAAACTGCCATTTTGGGGGGGGGGGGGGAAAATAGTAAAAGGAGAATTCAAAGAATTATTCTTTCTACTATTTTTTCTCCAACAGCAACACAACAAACAGAAAACAATATCCAGAACAACAAGCAAACAAAATAAATAATCACAACCAGCAACAAAAATATTTAATCACAGCATACAACATTAAATAATTCAAACAAGCATACCAACAAAACAGCAACACTCTAAATCATCAAAGAACCCAAACTCAAAAACACACATCAACAAAAAACAAAGCAACATACCAACAAAAAATATCACAAGAGTATCAAACAAAACAAAAACAAACAGCCAAAGCACGAAAAAATTGAAGAAGCATGCCAAGTCTAAACAACGCACTTTGAAAGAGATAAGCAAATTAGGAAAATATAATAACTCAATCTTTACAAACGATAAATATGATACAATTATAACATATAATAGTTTACATGTGATAATAATAGTATGATTAAACCTGTTTTTAGTGTTTCCAGTCTCCTATGTTGTTCCAAGAACTGCTCAAAATGTTTCTGATATTATACCAGATTAAGCTAACGTCATAATCTTTCATTGGTGCTCTTTGTTGTATTAAATAACGCAACACTGATACCAAAGTATAATAATTACAATGCATTGTTGTCATTCCTCCTCTTTCATTAATACTATTACCATTCCGTTTAACGAGTTCTTCTTTCATTATGTTTTCGTAAATCTCTTTTATCCATTGATGATTTTGTTCTCCATACTCAGCGAACATATCTGGATATATATCTTTCATTGTTTTATCGTTTTTAATTATTTCAATGACTTGTTTATACGATGGATAGGGATTATCCTTAATGAAACTCAATATTATCTTTCTATCCTGTTCCAGCTCTTTTTCTGTCACTCCTATCATTGGCATTTTCCTCTTATTATATTAAGTATTTATTCCTTTAAGTCATTTTACATTATAATTATAACATATAATATTTTACATGTTATCATTATAGTATGGCTAAATCGTTCCAGAATCTTTGAAATTGGGACTGGAGTCCCCGAATCCCATGCATTTGGGACTAGAGTCCCCGAATCCCACGCATTTTGGGTCAGAGTCCCACGCATTTTGGGTCAGAGTCCCACGCATTTTGGGACTGGAGTCCCCGAATTTATGACATTCCAACCAAACCTAAATCCTTAATCCGTCAAGCTCACCAAGATTTCACAAATTAATTCGCTAGGTATTTTATATAGGTCGTCCTGTTTATGTATTATTGGATTGTCACCCCATTTTTCCTTAGTGCCTGATGGTAGCCGTTGTGCTGTTTCAATATGTTTATTATTCCTGATGTTGCCACAATCCTTTTTACATAATTCTCTAGGTTTCCAAGTTGTAATGTTATTCCATAGCCTAGTCCTCTTTCTATAATTAAATCCATATTTACAATAATCAACATCTTTAAATTCAAACTCATCCATAAACTCCTGATGTTTTAATAATCCAGTTTGTGGATTTTCGATTACAAAATATTTAGGATTGAAATATTTGATAATCTCAATAGTTTTTAAGACAATACTATTTGCATATTCGATATTCCTAATTCCCCTAGTTTTTGCTATGCTGTATTCAGTGCATGGGGGACTACTCCAAATAAAATCAAAATGGTTTCTGTCAAACTGTTTGTAATCCCACTCCAAAATATCAATATTTATATCAGCATTTTTCAAGTCTAATGAAATAACATTAAAACCTAAGTCACGAGCAACTTTACCAACAGAACCACTGCCTGAAAATAATTCTAATAAATTCATTTATTAGAATTATTTAGATATTATTTATTCAAATAATACATATACTCCATCATCATTTTTTGAAATTTTATAATAGTCTAATGTTTGTTGCTTTGGTTGCTTGATTTTTCCTGTATTCAACATATCACAGTATTTCTTTTGCTTTGTAGGGTAGTCTCCGTTGGTCTTCCTATTGATTTTGCTTGAAATATCTTTTCGATTTTTTCTTTATCTTCATTGCGTTCAACTGGTTTCATTTTGTCATCAATGGATTTAATCATATCATTTAAGGTTTTGATATTTTTACCAATTAATGTTATCTTCTTCATTAAATCATTAATAGTATAATTCTCATTTTCAGACATTACTATATATTTATTTAGATAATTATTTATTTAATTATACGTTTTATTATATAATTTACCTGAATAATTTAATGTTATATATGTAAATAAATTATATTCTAAGAGTCTTTCACCAATTTTATTTTTCATTTGTATTAAACCTTCCTCGTCACCTGTAATTTCAAAAAAATTCAATATTTTACCAAATTTATCTGGTTTAGTTATACCTTTCATAAAATATTTATTATTAAATTTAGCATCTAACCAATAAAAATATTCTATACTCAATTGTCTAGCAAAGTTTTTATCACCATCGAATAGGTCTTTAATTTCTTCATCGTCAAAAGTTATAATTCTATGGTCTTGTCCATTCATAGTTGGCATTATGATTATATAAATAATTAGATATTTATTTATTTATTTAATTATATATATTTATAAAGTGCAATTATGTTAAATCTACTCTTTAAATACTAATTTTTCATGATTTGTTTAACAGTTTCCTGTGTTTCGTTTTCATTATTATCGGTTGGTGTTGCTTGCCTACCAAATTTAAAAGTTATACTATGGACATCAGTTTCTAAGTTGATACTGTCTTTAGTTTTATCAATATTCATTTTCTTATCATTTTTACTTATTTTGAAACTTGTTGGAACACATGAACATTTACAACTTTTATTATTTTTTATTTGTAATTCATTCTTAAGTTCTAACATTCTTTTACATGTAGGACAAACAACCTCAATAACTGATGTTTCTTTAACAATTTCTTCATCAGTTGATGAAACACTTAAACCTGTCTTATTCTTTTTGTTTTTCTTTTTTCCCATTTATATTAATATTTATATTTTTAATATATTGTATCAAAAACTTAATTAATTCTAAAATAAAATAACATATTTTTTACATCTATTATCAGTTATTAGTACTTGTTCTATATTTTCTACTTCATCTATTATATTAATATAATCTGAATAACTCCTTTTCATATTAAATAATAAGATAAATTATTTTTCATTTCTGTCTTTCTTTTCTTGTAAAGTTTTTTCATTGTATCGTCTTTATTCCATCTATATTCTACAAATTTCTGATGATGTTTTGAATTTAGATGTTTAAATAAATATTTGCTATCATAAGTTTTACAACAATTGCAATGGATAACAGTCATATAATAATAAGATAAAATAATTATTTAAATTATTTAATTTTATTATCCCTTAATATTAAATAGAATATTTATTTAAACTATTTTCTTTAGTAAGTTTTACTGCAGTTGGTATACTAACATCTAGAATATTATTATTAATAATTTCTTGTACACCATTTATCATTTCATTTGTATATATATCGGGATAATCTTTCATAAAATTCACTAATTTATTATAATTTAGGATATCCTCGTTTTCGATTGATGATTTAGGTATTATAATATTTTGGTTATTAATCATCGATAAAAACGTTAAAATCGTATCATAATAAATTTGGCCAGTATCTGGAACTAAAATATCACCGAATTTATATATATTCCGAATACTAGTAACTTCACTTAGATTAATAGATCTTCTTGGCATTATGATTATATAAATATTTATATATTTTTTTATTTATAAGCATTTATAATATTATTTTTATTATGCCTGATGTAAAACCAATTGATGAAATCAAATATGACTTTAAGCAAAGTAAGCATGAGGTCGTCCCTAAATTGCCGATGAGAGCTATGATCGTCGGTCCATCTGGAAGTGGAAAATCAACTTTACTTGTATCAATGATACTTGATATTTATAGAGGAGCATTTGAAAGAATTTTTATCTGGTCCCCATCAGTAAATTTGGATAGTATTTGGTTGCCTGTTAAAAAATACATTAAGGAAGGATTGAAAGTAGATAATGATAAGGAACCGTGTTGGTGGGATGAGTTCAATGTTGAACATTTAGAAAGAGTTATAGAAACTCAAAATAAAATAATTGAATACCAGAAAAAACAAGGAACGAAGAAATTATTTAATATTTTGGTAATTTTGGATGATGTATCTGATAATCCAGCAATAACAAGAAATAACAAATTGTTAAATTCTTTATTTTGTAGAGGTCGTCATAGTGGAATATCAACACTTGTAAGTCTTCAAAAATCATCAACCGTACCACCAATTATTAGGGTAAATATAAGTCATTTGTTTTATTATAAAGTTAGAAATTTTAAAGAGATAGAAATATTGCAAGATGAATTATCAGCAATTGTTAGAAGCGATAATTTACATGAAAGCAAGAAACTAATTTATAAAATATATGAGACTGCCACTGATGAACCGCATAGTTTTTTATATATTAACCTTTTAGAAAAGAACCCAGATAAAATGTTTATGAAAAAGTTTTCTCAATATTTGAAAATTACTAATTAAATAATTAAATAATTAAATAATTAAATATATATTAATATTATATGATATTTTATGATTTACCAATAGAAATTAAAGACATAGTATTATCTTATAGTTTAGGTGATGTTAGATTATTAAAAATAAAAAATAGTAATATTATTAAAAATTATATTAATAAATATAAACCAGTATATAAATCTTACACATTAAATAACATACATTATTTTGAAATTGATAATATCAATATTAATAATGGAATATCATATATTTTTAATTTAAGTGAGTTAGATAAATTACATCAAAAAAATAAACCATTAAAATTATTTATTGAATATGATATATTTGTTACATTTAGCTCGTTTACTCGT